CCTCATTCAACATTACTGAAACATTTTTTTTTTTTTACAGTTATGATACAAAGAGCAGATTTACTACTTGACAGTATAGTAACATGATATTGAACACAATTATGTGAACTTTAATGGGTGCAGTCATACCAGTCTTTGTCTTAATGCACGATAATGGAATCACATGATATTGGATTGAACCATATTTCTTTATGATAATAACTAGAACACACTATGACACTCTGGGTGTTGTGTTTAGAACACACTATGACACTCTGGGTGTTGTGTTTAGAACACACTATGACACTCTGGGTGTTGTGTTTAGAACACACTATGACACTCTGGGTGTTGTGTTTAGAACACACTATGACACTCTGGGTGTTGTGTTTAGAACACACTATGACACTCTGGGTGTTGTGTTTAGAACACACTATGACACTCTGGGTGTTGTGTTTAGAACACACTATGACACTCTGGGTGTTGTGTTTCATTATAACTTATGAGTCCATGAGTATACCTGCAACTGATTCACAGACTTCAATAGCAGATTACTAAGGAAAACACGAAAATCAAAAATGCTCAATTAAATTGATTTTCAGTTATTGTGCTCTAAAGACATTGAACAACATTTTCTTACTTGCTGTGATTTGTTGGTGTGTATTGACAAACAATCATGATATCTAATCAAAAACACCTTAGGTGTAAAAACCAAAGGTGTGGCCAAAAAAAGGATTGAGTGTGTGACTTAATGGAATGAAATCAAAATCGGCTGCCAAACTGGTAGCTACACTTATAACACTGATAAGCAAAATATTTATAGCAAAATATTCATTCATTAGTTAGCTAGGTCTCGTTTTTTATTTTCCCACCATCATGCCCCAAGTTGAAAGTGAAAATATCTCTATAATATACTTTATAGATATAAACATCATACGACCCACTCTTTCCAAGGCTTCAACACAAATTGCACAAAAAAATACATATAGTGGAAACTATACAGCGATTTCTAGATATATAATTGACTAAAAATTAAGTAAACATCATATGCATCACGAACAGCATTGACGAAAAAAATCATACACTTAATATATTGCTTCACTAATAATATACAAACCGTAAATTAATCCTAAAAGTAGGCAAGACGGTATTAACAGACAGACAAATCCAGATATATGCACCCAAACCTAATCACAAGCACTATTTTTGTAGAAAATATTATGGTATACTTCTTACAAAAACGTGGAGAAGGTTAACATGAAAGCATGACCTTGACATAACACTAGATTTCTGTTCACTCAAGAAATAAAAATCAAACTAAGAAACTGGTAAGCATTTACAAAGTATAATGCAATAACAGCCCAGTTTTTTTACCTAGAAGAAGCAGGATTAAATTAGATACACAGGTAAATGAATATCAAAATCAAAAGTAAACAACAATGTTATTTCTGTTAAAATCGCCACAGTACAAATAAAAGAAGAATTATAAAAAACTAAATATTTGAATTTAATAAACTCGGGAACCGATCTGTTGACTTTTTATTTACCATTTCCGCGAATTATTTTCAACCTAACCAAAGACACAAACAAACAGTATATATATAACATCATGCTTTTACTTGCTTAGAAATTATATAAAGCAACTAACTGGACGGTGGCAGATCATTTTATCAAAGACAAATACAAAGTTATTTTACGTTTCAGCTTATGCTTTGTATATTTGACAATGATCGCATTGGCAAACAAAACGTGCTACAAATAAATCAAAATCAAAAATAAACTACATAAAAGCTGTGATTTATTCGCATATTTATCAGTAATGTTTTACAAACTACTGTAATCAGATATTTCCTAACTTAGCAAATTAAAGTACAACAAAACACGTTTTTATAACTTCATAGCTATTCTTGATCAATTCAAGAACGCTCTATTTTACATTGTCATGGCCAGAGACTAGTGGTAAATATCATGACAAGAGGGAAATTATGTGACAAAGTATATAATCAAAACGTAAACTGTGTAAATAAATATTCCAAAAATGATCAATAAGTCTAAAATAAAGGTCTAAGAATTGCTAACTAAGTTCACGTTTTTTCCAACATACACATATAGATTATGAAAATTGTCGTAGTGTTTACAATATTTAATCTCAAAATTAATCATATGTGTTCGACAGGGTAAATTACTAAGTACACATTATCTTTACGATAATCTACTGAGCACGATATTAAATACGTCTCCTCACCAAATATGAATGTAGGGTAAAACACCTCATTATCAAATATTTCGGAATTATTTTCCCTAAAGAATTCCCTGGTATATTAACTGTGTTGGAATAGAAGTTAAATCGGAAAGAAGCACTTTAGCTACCAGATTTTTGAATGGTTAAATTTTTAGCCGTTACAATAGTTCCCTTATAATACTCACGCACACAAACAAGTCCAGTTGATATGTTTTCTCGACATTTTCTGCAGTGTGAAGTTTAAACTTTTCTTCTTTACGTTTTTTCTCATTGTTAGTTAAGGACTCAGTTACTGATAGTTTTAGGGAAATCTTTACCATAACTACAAACCCTATGACGTTTTTTCTCATTGTTAGTTAAGGACTCAGTTATTGATAGTTTTAGGGAAATCTTTACCATACCTACAAACCCTATGTCTATGTTCGAAACCTTTAAACTATCGTTATTGTTTAGGATTTTCAAAACATTCTTCTCTGAAACAGATAAATTAGCTTTGGATTCATAACCCAAAGTTTCTAAGTAAAGTGTTTGAAGTATAGCACTATGACACTTTAGTTCAATGTCGTCATGGTAAATAGTAAGAGAAAGAAAATTTAAAGTAGAACTGACGCTTAAAACTTTAATGTTTTTTTATTCTGTGTTTCTGTTTTTTCACCCTCTCTTTATTGATCCAGTAAACACAAGTCTTCGGTTCTTCAAGACAATTAATGAGCTTTGTGATATAGCGTCATCCCCGAAGTTGAAACAAAATCTCCAGGAGTAAGAATTGATTTCTCTGGTTCAGAATTTTCGCTTCATGATGTACAAAGTGCTATCTGCGCATAACTAGCCATAAATGTGAAATGATAAACTAGAGGGAACACAGCTCCACTGCCAACACTTGTCTCACCAAATACTGAAACTTAACTGTCCTTTTTATAAAACACTCACTAACACAAGTGCGAAACATGTTTTTTGTCGCAATGGGCCGAGAACCATGAACCCTAGGACTTCACAGTCCGAACACGCCAACCACTAAGCCAGCTGTCTATTGAGGTTTGGCATTTCGCAATTATGGTCAATGATCACGTAAAATGGTTTACAAAAACACTCAATTCCATTTATTAGAACTATTAACAGGAGCACAGAAAGTGTCATAATGAGTATTTGGTATAAACGTTGACACGTCATAATGAATATTTGGTATAAACGTTGACACATCATAGTGAGTATTTGGTATAAACGTTGACACGTCATAATGAGTATTTAGTATAAACGTTGACACATCATAGTGAGTATTTGGTATAAAATTTGTCCACCATAGTGAGTATTTGGTATAAACATTGACAAGTTATAAAGAGTATTTGGTATAAACATTGACACATCCTAATGAGTATTTAGTATAAACGTTGACACATCATAATGAGTATTTGGTATAAACATTGACACGTCATAATGAGTATTTGGTATAAACATTGACACGTCATAATGAGTATTTGGTATAAACATTGACACGTCATAATGAGTATTTGGTATAAACATTGACACGTCATAATGAGTATTTGGTATAAACATTGACACGTCATAATGAGTA